CGAAGAAACATATGCGAGTGAAATATCTCCTCCTTTTCTCATTGCGATTTATTATAAGATTAACAGATATATACTGCCGCTTCACTTAGAACTTGAACTTTATCACTGAAACATCGCGCTTCAATTTCATTCCTTTCTATACGTTTTTCGGGAGAGTTATTCTTTGGCCTGTACCACTCTTGAGAGCTAAGTTCTTCAAGCTTCTTTCATTCTTTCATACATAAGAGGGAGAGGGGAAATCTTTTTATCCCTTTTTTTCAGGTCTGGGGCAATGAATGCTTCCTTGTTTTTATTTCTTTTACTTCATGACTTGCTGAAACTTTAAAAAAAAATCTTGTTCACTTTATCTCCTGTTTTATGGTTAAGTATTTCAAACGCTTCAATAAGCTTCCTAATTTTCATTTTAGAATATGGTAGCGGTGGATGGGGGGTGGAGGAGGGGAGAGGCATAAAGCTGTTCAAATGTGTGCTTGCGTTTACATTCAACATAAAAGATAACTCGGTTTCTTATCTCTCAAATCTAAGCTGGTCTCCAACCCTTTCTCACTCAACTAAAATACGTTGGCCGAATTAATGCGCTTGCTATCTTAAAGACCTTTTTGACTCTAATAATGATATATTTTCCATTTAAACGAATAAATTAAAGTATTTCTTTTAAGCCAATGAAGTATGCTTACAATGTTCGATTATTTTACTCTGCCTAAGCCCCGCCTCCATTGTTTTTATTTTATTTCTCTTGAATTGTTTTACTAAAATTTCGCATAAATTCAAATCTGTGTCCTTAACAAGCTTAAATCTTCCAAGCAAGGGATTTAACAGCGTCCCCTATTAACATATTTTACCTTATGCGCTAAATCTACGATTCGGCGTTGATCGATTACCTTTTAAGTTATTCCTTCTTTAAACAGATCGGCCGACAACTTTTTTTTATATTTCCAGCGTTGTTTTCCAATACTCCTTAAAACTATTTATTGTGAAACTATGTTTGTGCTAATAAAGACAATTAGTTGTTTATATGCCTTAGATTTCAAAATATTAAATATTATCTTTCTTCCTTGTGGAATGATAGCATTGCTCCGATGACATCAATCGCCCACCAGTGGCCTATCTACTTAAGATACGAATGGCCTAATAGGAAGGAGAAAAAGGAGAAGGATATCTTCAAATTGCTGGTTGCATTGTTGTGTGGAAGTTGCTCAAATTATGTCTGTGATTAATAAGCAATTATTAATTCCAATCTTCTTCTTTTTCTTCGTTCTTCCCGTTCATTCTGTCACTGAGCCATATTTGGAAATTATTGCGTATTGACTTGTTTTTCAAACCACCATGAAAGATGTTTAGAGACTGTTTTGCACCTTTCGGTCAGTTACCTCCGACTTCAGCGACATTTTTAAGGATTTGTTCCCTCACAGTTCTTCGGCTTCGCCTGATGATATTTGAACATGGATCCAGCCAGCTAATACCGCTTTTGGATTTTTTATAGATTTTGTGATCAAATTATGTTACGATCCAAGTAGAAAGGAAATGAGTATTAAAGAGTTTTTAGTACCTAATTAAATAGACAAAGTTTGACCCCCTCCAGATTGAATACGCCCCAATTCCAAAAGTTTTCGTAAATACAATAGTTGTAGATTACGATGAGATGAAACTATTTAGAAAGTTTAAGGGGGATGTTAATAATTCGATAAAAAGGGGTCTGCACCAGGACTAATATTCTCACAAGCGGTGCTAATTGAAGTTAATTGTCTGAATTTTTTTTTTTTTAATTTTCAGCATTCTTGAAGTACAATAATGTATATAATACATAATAAAATAGTAAGTTCATTTTTTTTATATACATGACTTGGAATTATTTTGGTCAGGAGTTATATCCCATGGAAATTTATTTTTTTGATACATATTTTTTTTTCTAATTTTATTTCTGTGAAGAATAATTTTTAATTATTAAAATTTTTAATATTAACATTCACTTATTTTTTTTTTAAACATTATATTTTCAATAATTTTTCTTAAAAGTTACCCAACTCATGAAACACACATCTTTTTAAAATGTTATGAGAATTAAAAGTTATAATTGAAATTAAAACGTTATATGTATTATAAAGTTTGAACTTTGAAAGGATCTTGATTAATTACATTGATTCACCAGTCTTTGATATTAATTATTTTTTTATTCAGTCGGGATAGGATTAATGTTGATTTTAATGATACAAAGATAATCTCCCTCCTGGAATTACATAGTGTAAGTGAAGCCTTGGACAGGAAGGCATATAAGTTGGCTTCCCAGCTCAGTATCAGCTACTATTACCAGATCAATGAACGTGCAAAAATTAATTATTTTTCTCATCTGACCAATGAGTAACATGTAATGAATTTTGCAATCTGTGGTAATTAATATCATTATCAGCTTTCGTTTTACTTTCCCATTGTAATGTATAAGTTAGTTACGAGCTTTTAAATTTTTTATAATTTTAACTTGGTGTGATCTTGATATTCACTATTGACCTGAAGTAGTCTCGATTTTGCTTATTTGACTGAAGTTTAATGTCTTCATCATTCTTTCATATGCTGTCAGTTCTCAATGTTTTCATAATAAATCATTATGAAATGTTGCATTATTAAGTAATATTATTACTCAACATTAAGTGAGAGAATTAATCAATACTTATGCAAAAATCACATGAAGTCCTATGGAATATACATTTTGTAAATATTTATAGTTTAATTCCTTCCAAATTATATTAGTTAATTGAATATATCCTTTTTTTATAAATCTATATTAAATTTCACTAAAAAAATTTTTCTCAATTTCTGTTTCAGATTTGTTCTGTTAGTGCGCTTCACCATTGGTATGCTGAACATGATGGTTTCTTCTACCTAAATGAATAGGAAAAACTACAGTAAAAAGAAGCTTAGTAATCAAACTGGAAAGAAAAAATCTGATACTTTTTTTATCAAATTCAAATTAATTAATAATGGAAAAATGAAATACAGCATCAGTTATGAAGGGTCAGGAGGGAGAAAAAGAGACGAGGAAACATAGGTTATAGCTCAGAGGGTATGTCTAGAAAACAAATTAAATAAATTTGAATATTTTACTTTTTGTAAGTAAAAGTTTGACAATAAAGGTAAGTTCCTAAATTCAGTGCTAATTCCATCGATTGATTTTTTATATCAATTGAATCAACAACAAGAACAATGACCAGCTATTTATGCTTTTTGAATCATTGGATTACTTGATGGATTTCAGAATTAGGTTGTCATTCCTAGAAGGTTTCTAAACACTTGAAAAATAAGAATTTTTAAATTGCAAACCAGAAATAAATACAAGTAGAACGTAAACTTGGTAGAAATATGTAAAGTAAATTGAGAAATAACAACACTGTGGTTATAAAGAGGTTGCATCGATCCCAACAGCCCAATAGCTGAACAAACAGCGGAACACTGTATTCTTTTTGTTAAAGTTTTGTTTAAAATTCAAAAAATAATTATTTTATTTTTTTAGGCTAGTTAAAATTTTAATTCTATTGTAGTTATGAATTTTTATATAGATTACACTGGGCAACAAAAAACAAATTTTTGAATGTTTCCAGCACTTCATGAGTCAATCCTTACTAATTTTGGGTTGAGAAAACCGAATATGACAATGAAAAATTTTTCTTAGCTCTAGTTTCTGTGATATACAATAGGTGGAAGTATTTCATATTTACGGGTTAAGAGAAAAATATACATTTTAATTAGATATGCTAACAACATTGAGAGTGCATTTGACTTTTCAAAACGGAAGAGTTCTAAATTGCTGGAAGAAGATAGTCGTCTTTTGGCTTGCCTCATCACTAACAGCTAGGAGGGAAAAAGTCTAGGTGGGAGTGGAGAAAATGGATTTTAAGGAACATATTACATTCAAGATTATGGTCCTTTTTGGTTCATACCTTTGACAAAATTATTCATCAAACCCAGCTTGATATGCAGGGCTGGAAGTAGAATATCTTTTGGGTGTCCATGAGAGACTTGGCAATGACGTTTTTCTCGCTAGAGTTAAGATTTCTTGCAGGCCAGTCTCCTTTAATATAATGCAATGTTCTATCTCTACTGTCCCACATACATAAGAAACAACAATGTTTTTTATACCCCAGTTACATTCCTAAGAGTATGACAATGACTTTTAGATCACCATAGGTTTACCATTTGTGCTCATGATATCTGAGTAAGTCCAAGAGGGCAGTCATATTTGCATATTTCTCCTTCATGTGAACTGCATGACCAACAGGAACAGAGAAAAGAAGGTTGCCATTGTGGAGTAACGCTGCTTTCAAATTAAGCTTGGAGAGGTCTATGAATAGTCTCCATTAATGTCGCAGCAAACAATAAGATTATTTTTCTTTTCAAAAAAGGGAAACAGTTCTCTGCGACGTTTTCCATACCGTGGGATTCTGATATCACTTTCGAGAAGATTCAAGACCCAAGAATTTCTGCCTTCTCCTTTGACATATTATTTTACACATTTCTATGAATTTGCACTCTCAAACCAGAAATTCTGCATTAATTACAGCAGAAACTATATGAAACTCACAGTCACTGCATCAGTAACTATGGTTATAACTTACAAACAGCTGAAGAGCATTTTTGTTTTGATATTTGACAGGTGTACTAACTCCCAAAAAATAAATTTCCCCAAATTGAAAATGTTGACTCTAAAAAATGAAATGTCACTTTATCCCCAAAGCAAGGGCTAATCTAACATTGTTATGGTGGTTTTTGAATTTAGCAGATGGAAATACATATGAATTGACTATTTTTGAGTCCGAAACATTTTCATTGTTGGCCAGTGTTATTATTTGACTACTATGAATTTTTATGTAAATTATTTGACTACTGATGTGTTACTTATTTCTAAATTGTCATAAAAAAATAATTTTATGAGTCATATATGTTATGTAAATGTGTCGAACATATTTTGCCTGTAAATTATTAATATCTAATTTATTTTAGACGGAAGTATGGTTGACTGCGAAGGAGTTTCTCTGGGTTCATCATGTGCGAAACTGCCACACTCCCATTCTGCGGAGATCTCAAAGACCCCACCACCTGGGGCTCCAAAGAACCCAGGCAAAATGCTTGCGATTCGTGTTCACATGTTAGATGACAATATTACCCTCTTCCAAGTTCAGGTACATACTTATTACTCATTTCTTTGAGTAGCTTTGTATTCTTTTAAGGAATTAGAATCACTCAAAGTACTTTTATTACCTTATCTAGTTGTTGTATTATAATTTTCTTTTGTTGACATTAATTAATAATTTTAAATATTTCCATTTACATATAAAATGTAGGTATAGATCAACTTTTTATATTTTCTTTTACATAATACCATCAATTTGTTTTGAAAACAGGCGAAAGCCCTAGGCCGAGTCCTTTTTGAACAAGTTTGTAAACAATTGAACTTGTTGGAAGCTGACTACTTTGGCTTAGAGTACCAGGATCATAATGGCACCAAGGTAACTACTTTATCTAGTTCTTTTCTTTTTTTTTTCTGAGTAGGATCAGCCATATAAAGTGATATATAATTGTGTCTATTATATATCCAAAAACTAAACTACATGAATGAGTTGTTTTTATTAAATTAGCCCAACATTGCAAGCCATCGTCATGGTTATAAAAGAATTTTTAAAACTTCTTCTTTTAAAGTACTTTTAATTTTTTTTTATTTGAAATAATTAACTGTCCCACATTCTTAGTAGCCATAAAAAATTACAATATTAACTATGAAAGAAATTAATAATGAACTGAAGGAGAAATAAGACAAGGTGAGTCTTTGGTCTGTGGTACTACAAAGACACCAAAACATGGAAAAAAAGAAGCGAAGCATATCGTTAGTTGACTTCTTACCCTTAGTGACTTCTATTATTTTTTAAATACTGACTTACTAAAGTAAATAAAATCAATGAAACATTTATTTTTTTATTTAAAATAATTAGCCTCTTGCACCATTTTAAGTAATAATAAAAAAATTGATAAATATAAACTAAAAAAGAATTTTATGATGAACTAAAACCGAGAAAAAAATATGAGAAATATTTTTCCAGGTTCAATGTTCAGATTTTTCTGTATTCAAATTCAATTTATTCAAAGATTTCTGTATCAATGTATAATATACTGTTTAAATCTGAAGATGTAAGAAAAGTTAAGATTAATAGTAAAGAGTTTTGAAGGTAATGAAGAGTGATGAAAAGCATACATATCTAACAGATTAGGTGGTTGGTAAAAAATATATGAAAATATATACCTATTTCTTCTCAAAGTAGAGCTGTAAGTGAAAGTTGTGTGCTTTTCAATTTGCTGCAGTTGCTGTTCTATTATATGTAGTTTTCTTAATTTTTTATTTCCACCTACCTATGTATCAAATAAAGGAAAGTATTGCAATCTTGAACATTTTTAATCTGATTTTCCTACAGAAATGCACATTTTGAGGTCCCCTGAGTCCAAATAAGCAAGTCTCACAAAATGATCTATGTGTGTGTATATATGTAAACAGTCTAGCTTAATAACGAAAAGTCGTATGAATGTGAAATTGCATATTTAAAGTTTATATATATACCTGAGATTTTTCATCATAATTAACTTTTTCGTCATAATCGGCTAAACTGAAGTGCCACTTTATCATCATTTTATTTTTATAATTTTTTCGAAAACAGCTCTAACGATTTTGATTATATACATTATATCAGTGTAAAATCAAGAATTTTTAAATAAAATGTAGGTCTTATCATTGATATTGTCTAACAGGACTTAAATGCCTAATTTTCAAAATTTTTATTGGAAATAATTTGATAAATAACTAAGAAGAAATAAGAGATGATTAGAGAGAACCAAAGAAATCGATTGATCAATCGAGCTTGGCCAAAAAGCCAGAGAATCCTTATGTAACATGTAATTCATAAAATAAAGGCTCCAATAATTCATATACATATACGGTTTTCATTAATGTATGGTTTCATTGGTATTATTTACTGTTTAATTGTATAGATTACGGTAATACAAACGGCTATGAAAAACATGTGTTAGTTAATTGTTTTAAATAAAATTGTTTATCTTCTATAATTTTTACTTTCACTTCCTTTTTTCTTAAAATACCTAGTAAGTGAAAGTTGTGTAATGTGCACACCAGACCAGATTTTTTTTGTTCTTATCCTCCTCTCCTTCATTTCTTTATTCAATACTCAAAATTATTTATATTTATATCAATATATCTTTGTTATCACTCTGATGATGGCCTGCATGGTTTGATTAACATTATTAAAAAATCAATTAATGTGATGCTTTTGTTTAATAACTTCGACGTTTAATAACTAAGACAATAAATTATCTTGATTCTGCTTATAAGTTTTTAAAATTTTATTTCAGTATTGGTTGGATGTTGAAAAACCTCTATCACGCCAAGTCGGGCTCTCATTATTTGAGCCGATGCTTTATTTTTGTGTCAAGTTTTATACCCCTGATCCAGCCCAATTGGAAGAGGAATACACCAGATACCTTTTTTGCTTACAAATCAAAAGAGATCTCGCACAAGGCCATATTCAGTGCAATGATAATACAGCAGCGCTTTTGGCTTCCTACATAGTACAAGGTAAAATTGAAAAAATATCTATGGATCAATATCTAGAATCTTATAATTGTGTATTTGTTGAAAATATACTATTCAATGATTCCTATATAATCAAAGTATATGTGTTACTTAAATTTTTGTTGTAATAAACTGTTGCAAATGGCCGCTGCTCCAGGATAAGCGAAGTCCTATAATAATATCAATTAATTATTTCAGCTGAATGTGGGGACTATGTGGCAGAAGATTATCCTGATGCCTCTTACCTCTCTTCATATAAATTTGTCCAACATCAAGATAGAGAGTTGGAAAAGAAAATTATGGAAAATCATAAGAAGCATGCGTAAATATATCTAATTAATTACATTATAAAGCATTTTATTAAAATAAACTCAATTTTTAGATAATATTAAAAATTATTCTTTGTTTCCATTTCTATTTTGTTTTGCTAGTGGCCAATCTCCCGCAGAGGCAGATTTAAACCTTCTCGAAACTGCCAGGAGGTGTGAACTGTACGGTATGAAGATGCATGCAGTTAAAGTGAGTTGATATTTTTTCTCATAATTTTAACCTTAAATTTTATTTTAAAGGAACTTATAAGAAAGATTAAAGTGATTTTTAGCTATTTCTGATTGTATTTGAATTAAAATAAGGGAAATAATAATATTTCATTGGGAGAAAAATAAAAAGCATGTACCTCAATAAACTTTGAAGGGTCTTGGATTCATTACTTGATTAGGAAATGCTGTTTCTATACCAATGGTCGTGGTTATACAACAAGATGATTTGGGCGTTGCACCAAAGGTGATCAAGATCAACCACCAGGTTTTTCCTTAGTTAAGAACATCCACATAATAGAATCTTCATCAGACAAAAACCACAATGATGTGGAGGATGGGCTTCTATCTATGAATTCCTTAAGTGAGACTTAGTACCATGACGAAATTTCACCATCTATCTCTCTCTTGCAAGATCTAGAAAGTTTGAACGAAGTCTATGCTGTGTTTAAAACTTCATTTTCCAGGGTTGTCACTACATCTTCCTTGCCCAGCTGTTTCTTGCAGGTGCCATTATATACTCTGGCAGTTTATACTGATAATTCCTTTCCTGACGGTATGTCCTAACCATCTCCATTTTCGAAGACTTGATTCCTCTTCAATTGGATATTTTTGATTAATTTCCTGAACTCAACATTACTAAATGCATGAGACACCTATTACTAAATGCATACAATAGACTTAATTTACATTTTCTTCACGGCTTTCTAAATTACTAAAAATATTAGTTAATTACCTACTGTAAAAATTCTCTCTGAATCAAACAGATTGATATTTAAACTTTTCTTTTCTTTTCTGTTTTAGGATCATGAAGGTGTGCCTTTAAACCTTGCTGTAGCACACATGGGTATTGTTGTTTTCCAAGGCTACACAAAAATCTACACCTTTTCTTGGGCAAAAATAAGAAAAATATCTTTTAAAAGGAAAAAGTTTCTCATAAAGCTTCATCCTGATGGATATGTATGTATTCTAAATTTTTGATACAAATAATATGAAAATTAAGTATATATTTTTTTCTATTAAGTAAAACTTCTTTGCATAATCTTTTTTTTTATTTTCGTGGCATTAAGATTTTACACAAAATCCTATTTTTCCAGTACATAAACTTGTGCATATTTCAATTGAAAATTATATATGCTTAAATTGTTTTGTTTCATTCCTCTTGTATAAAATATATAAAAATTTCGGTAATGAAGCACTCATATTGATCTAAATAATATATTATGTTGTTTCTTAAATAATTTTTAAAAAATTATGTTTATTCTTTTTCTCTAGATATTGAAATTTACTTTAAGAGGATTAAAAGTAAATATAATTTATTATTATTATTTCAGTTCTTGGATGTTAAAAAAATAAACTGTGAATAGTTTTTTTATATGACAATCATTCATTTGGTTGTTTGAGTCATAAAAAACAAATCATGACCTTTTTCTTTCTCAGAGTAATTATTATTTTTTTTAGTGTAATCAGAAATGATTAACTAGGGAAACCTGACATTTGTTTTGTGAATATCTCAGAATGTTTTTATATTAATTTTTTTTTTTCAGGGTTACTATAAAGATACAGTAGAATTTTTTTTCGAGAGTAGAAATGAATGTAAAAATCTTTGGAAGAAATGTGTTGAAAATCACGGATTCTTCCGCTGTAATTCTATTAAAAGAGTACCAAGGCAAAGAACTAGAGTGCTAAGCAGAGGAAGTTCGTTTAGGTAACGGTCTTCTTTGTTTTGTTTTTTTCGTTTTCCATTTTATATTTTATCTGCTAGTCATTAAAAATATTAAGGCAAGTTGTTAGCATGAAAACATATTTCATTGGCTAGGTTTTTAACTTATAAAGAAAAAGTAGACTTGATAAATTATTAAAAATCAAAGATAATATTTATTTTAAATAGGGAGAAAAGAAATAATAAATCCAACTGACTACATGATAAGGATAATATTTCGTATGTAAAACCAATTCATTGGAACATTTTCTATGAATAATTATAAAATAAATTTTTATAGCTTCTTATCTACAGAGCTTTTGAGAATTGAGGAACTAATGGTATGGTACATGTTTTGTTGGCATGTTTGTTTTGTTCGTGCGAACTGAACTTCCTTATTTATTTCAGAAATCAATTTTCATCAGTCATCTAATCAGAAAATTCCCTTATATTATTAATAGATGGGAATATTTCAAAAAAAATTTCAGAAACTCATTTTATTTAGGAAATAAAAATATTTATACAGGAAATAAAAAGGATAAAGGAAAGTAACTTTGACTTAGGCTAGAACTAATCTTAACCCCTTAGGGCCAGTTGCTCCAATCCAGTAAAGCTTAGATTTAACATTATCTAAGATTAAACCATGTTTAATCTTGATCTGTCAACCTTAGAAAACTTGGTTTAATCTTAGATAATGCTTATTCTGAGTTGGAGCAACTAGCCCTTACTCATTAACTGGTGATAATATATTTAAATATAAAGATAATTAAAACATAAAATAGAGGAAGGAGAGAAAAATAACATATCAAACAACTAAACTTTTTTAATTTTAATTTATTTTCCTTTGTATATTAGGTACAGTGGTAAAACACAGAAACAGATGGTTGAATTTGTAAGAGAAAACTATGTGAAACGCCAAAATTTCCAGAGGTAAGTTATTCTATAGTTTGATTTTATGTTCATCAATTCAAATATAATTTGAAAGCTTCCTGTGTTACTTTCAGTTGTTTCTGTCCCTTCATCTAACTATTTTTTACTTGTGTTTTACGACATGCTTTTGGCTTTTGCTCAATTTTTTCTTTACAAATTGTGGATTTGATTAGAGTGGCTATGTTTGTGGTGTTCTTGAGCAAGTAGATATTTGAATATTTTAGTTTATAATTTTTTATATGTCTATATATATATACATGTTTTCATGTTTGAAAAGCTGTCTCTTTCTTCTATTGTCTTTGTGTCAATAATTCATTAGCTTGAAATTTTTATTTAAAAATGAAGACTTTTAAAAGCGTATCAGTGAAATAATAGGGCCCGTTAATGTTTTGTTTTTCATCTTCTTAAGATTAAGATATTTCCTACCTCAAAGGAAAATTGAAAAGTTCTAATTTATATAGTACTCCTAAAATATATATTTTGTTGCATTGACTTAAAATATTAAATTATGATCGTTTTTCCCAATGAAATTATTAGATCTGTTGTTCTACTATAAACTGCATAAAGCACAGATGTAGTTGTAGACTGTTTTTTAAATTTTTATTTTATTGATAAGTTGGTTTTTCAAAAAATGGTTTTTGAAAAAGCTTATTTTTGACTGTAGATACATTTTTTATTTATTTATTTTTTATTTCTTGATTATTTATCATTTATTAGCTTGAAAAAATATCTAACACTTACTGAGACACGAAATTGAACTATCTTTATAATAAATCATGTAAAATTGTTTACGAACAATTGATTTTGTTCTAATAATTTTGATTAGTTGAATTTGATTGATCATCTATCAAAGATTCAATGAATAAACCTCCGTATTTTTTTCAGGAACTGTCCATTATCTAGGTATGTACTATGAAACAAAATGATAAATTATTTATTTAAGGGAGTAATATTTCAATTATTAAAACAATTGTAAATCTTTATGATTACTAATTAATATCGAAACAGTAAATTAAACAAAAAAAAAGTATTTTTCAATCATTTTTAACATCTGTTAGAATGGGAGTATGTTAACTCTATGCATGTTATTATAATTACGATTGCTCATTCTTCTAAAACAAAGTATTTAAAAAATTCTATATATTTTTTTTATATCTTCTCAGAATGATTAGGATTATATGTACTACATGCATGGTTGGTTAGTATTCAATGGGTTTACATATTACAAACTTCAATAGAAGTTTTATTGTTTCGTTATTCGACTTCAAAGCTATTAAATATGGAATAGATGTTCATTGCTTTTTTTTTTTTCTTTCATTTCATCTCTATGTATTTTAATATTGTCTAATTAATCTTCTTTTCTTTCTTTCTATTAAAATATTGTGTCTGTGTGTACCTCCAAAGTTTGATGTTTAAGAATGAAATAATTCGTTGTTTTCATCCATTGGGTGTATAGGATTAAGAAAATTATTAGTTATACTTCTGCAATACCATAAAAAAAATAATAAATTAATAAATATGAAGAAAACCGCCATTAATTAGATCAAATGGAACCGACCTCAAATGTTTAACATGTAAATGCTAACAATTTTTTTTACAGGTCACAATCTTTCCGCCAATCTAGTTCTGTACATTCTTCAGTTGCCACCAATGTTGGTGGCAGTATTTCAGCTCATCCTCTCATTCCTCTGGGAGACAACAGTATAGGTAGGTGTCAAATGTTGAAGCATGGCATGTTGCATGAGTATAGATTTTATATATAAATGAATGTTATTCCATTTTTGATTATATATATATTTATTTTATGTATACATTTCATATATATATTTTTAATTTTCCTTAATTTATCTAATTTTATTTTATTTTATTTATCTTTTCTTTTTTGATTTGGGGAAATCAGTAGAGTAGACTTTAAACAAGAGACTGAGTATTTAAAAACTGGTTAGTGAAAACCAGATTTTTCTATATCGTTTTTAAAAAAATAAAATTTCAAAAAACATTGTCAATGCAACAAAATTATTTTCATTATAATGATTATTTAAATTTGTATTATTTCAAAAATTATTTATGTAACTTAACTAAAAATTGTTTATTTCGTATGGTCAAATTTATGAAGAGTAAGTAACATTAATGAGTGGTGGCATAGATGTGGAAGTGTAAACAATATGTAAAATTGTATTTTCACTTTTAAAATATTTTCAATGTTATCAATTACTTTATCATTTCAATTTATTTTAAGCCTGTGTTATTTTTTACAAGTCATATATGTCAATTTGACTAATACTATTGTTGATATTATCAACACATACATTCAGGTTTATAAATTTATTGTATTGTTTGATATTCAATATTATTTTAAAGTTATAAAACTGGAATTTGTTCTTTTTGCTGCAACTGATATTGACCTTTGCTGACAAGGTATATTTTTAAAAACTACAGATTCTCTAGAAAGAAGCACATTATTGTGCCACATTGCACAGTACTGTGTATTCAAAGATCAATTATATAGTAAAATGTCTCCTCAATCTGATTTAAAATTTAGAATAAAACATGTTACAATCATAGTTATGTTTATAGACTTTGAAAGCTCAGAAGATATACCATAAATTCATTTATTTTTGTATTTTTCGAGGTAATGAAATTTTTTAAGAAAGATAATGATTTTTCCAATTATCTTGAAAATTAATATATATATATATATATTTTTTTTGATATTTTGTTTCCAGTAGCGACATTCAATTATTGTTAGTCTTTAATTGTAATATTAAAATCCATATTTTTTTTATCCATTTGCAATAGCAATGTGGACAAAAATCAATATCTGCCTAAATCAAATTATTTATTGAAATTAATCAAATAACTATTTTCTATAGTTCCGTTATACATAAATCGAAATCATGTGACTAGAGTATTTTTTCTAAAGAATACAAAAAGAATTAGATAGAAGTGCTGGTATGAGCTTAGGAAGACACAAATATTTTATATATCATTTAAAAAGTAAGTAAAGTTTATGTGGTATCTTTCTTATAGAATATATAATTTTAGAATTTATGAGTTTTCTTGTGTGAGGATTACTGAAATATGGTTCAGAGAATTGTGCTTCATTTGAGATTAAATTAGGCCTTCCAAATTTTTAACTAAAGAAGACTAAAAATGTCGAAATTTTTCTTGAATGTGCCTAATAGTAACTATTTTAGGCTGTTGCCTATCTTTAAAAATAAATAAAATATCTTATTTTATTGTAAAATTATCATAGTTTGCGATTCTTATGACAAGAAGGGGTTAGTTCTATTTCTATTGCTTTTCATTATCAAAAATTAAAAAATAAATAAAAATGTAGTCTTAACTATATATTAAAAAAATTAACTAATATATTTTTCAGGTATGTGAGTATTAATTATGTGTGGTTTACTACTAATAAATCCGTTTTGTTTTAAAAGTTACCAAGTATGCACCCAAAACAGAAGAGTTATTTTACTTTTAACCAAAAAGTAGATTGGATTGAGCTAATGTCTTCTCACATATAGTCTTTTCTGTTAATGTTATTATTATTACTTTTTCAAACTTTGGAGAAATGTTGTTCCTGGATGAATTTAGAATGATCACATTTATACCTGATATTTATATAAAATATACATACTATTTAAAAAAATAGATTAATATAGAATCACTAAATTGAAAGGAATTGGAAGCATCCCTATATTTTAAATTATAAGTGGAATTTGGGAATTTCCAGTTGGCAGGAAAAATAATAGTTATTTGTTATTTATTATTAATTTTTAGTTAATGTACTTTTAGCTTAACTTAACTTTATATTATTGTTATTTATCTGCTTTATCAATATATGTCTTTTAATGTTAAAAGAATTATACATAGAACAAGGAGCTTATTAATATATTTAACTAATAGTTTATTCTTCTGTTTTTAAAAATGTTGTGATAACTGAACTTCATTCTAAGTAATTGCTATTATACATAAGCTACTTTAACAAATTTAAGCTTGAAAAGATTTATGAAAAGTTCATTTACATTTTCAAATCTATGCCCTTTGAATTGTGGGATTTTAAAAAAAAACTTAAAATTATGAGTACATTATTATTCGATTCATTGATGCTGGTCTCTTATTAGCTTAAAGCAGGTATATATATTTTTTTAACTGCTAACATTCCTTTTATTTCATGATTCTTAGTACATCTTTATTTATCCTTATTAGAATTATCTTTAAGTTGCTGCTGTGGAAAATTATGTTCTTCATAAATGTCTACAAAATATTAAAACAAACTTCGAACAAACATCGGAAATAAATGGCCCTGGTGGTTTATTTTAAAAAGTATTAAAACAATTTTAAATGTTGATGGTCAGTTATGGAATCTGCCAACATAATATGCCTAGGTATTTAGGACGAGCTTCAGCTCTTCAACAAATTATGTACTATCTTTTGCTCCAATACATTGTATCATAAAAACTAAACCAAAAAAAAAGATATCTGTTTATTCGATATGTCCAATCTAATACATTCATGGCTATCCTTTGAATATAGTTGGACATCCATATTTAGATACTTAGATATTAAATATTTTAATGAAAGTGTAAAATTTGACTAATTCTTACTTTATTATTATTATCACCATTGACTCCTGATGAAGCATAGGGCATCTATAAGTGCATTCCATTCCTCTCTTTTTGCAGGGATCATTTTTACTTCTGGCCAGTTCTTACCAGCTTGGCTCAGGTCATTTCTTACAGATCTCCGTCCTGTTTCTCTTGGTCTTCCTCTTCTTCTTGTTCCTTGGGGATTCCATTGAAGATCTTCTTTTTCTATGGTACTATCTGCTTTCTTTTTTAAAGTGTGTCAAATACATTTCAATTTTTTTTCTTATTTGGAGGTGGGTAGGAAGTTGTTCAGTAGTGCTCTAGAGTTCTTCCTCTCAGGCCACTAGAGATCCCCAGGATTCCTCACAAACAGCAATTGATGAAGGTCTGAAGTGGTTGGGTAATGGTTTCAGTTACTTTCCATGTTTCACTGCCATTGAGCAGAACTGATTTTACATTGGTGTGAAACAACTTTGTTTTAGGACATTTTTTTGTTCTTCCATAATAAATAGAGTTGAACAAATGCTCCTTTAACTTTTTTGGTTCAATTTATAATATCTTCCAATGAGCTCTATTTTAGTGATCTTATGCTTCCCAAGTAAATAAATGATTCCAGCACTCTAGGATATTTTCTTTTATAACAAATGGATTCCAACATTGCTCATTTACTCGATTTTCTTCATTTTATCAATGTTGATTCACAGTCCAACTCGGTTGGCGATTCGGCTTAATTCATCTAATTTGTCCTGCAGATCACTGAACCGCTGTGCAAGAAAGCTGGTCAAATAAAATATAATTAATAAGTTATATTATCGAGTTCACTTAAGAGTTGATGAGGAGCATTAAAGATTATTTTTGTTGAATATTAGTTATCCTAATAAAGTTAGATTTAATTTCTAAAATTTTCTAAAAATCATTTTCCCAATTTAAACATTTATTAAAACTCCTCTTACCACTCAAAATCTTCAACATTTTTCTTTGTTGTAATGATTAACATATTTAAATTTGTTTAGTAAGAATAGGCTATATTGAGAAAAATTTTATTACTTCAAAGCTTCTGTTAAAAACATAGTTTGGCATAAGATAGAAAATATAAGCTACATAAAAATTTGTTTCCAAAGAATTAATAACTACTGTAAGTTTAAATGTAGATAATGTTTGTCTCAATGTCACCTGAACTTTATTTTGCGTGATTTTGTTTCTATAAAATGTTCATTATTTTCTGTTATTGAAAACAACTTTGTAGTTTTAAAAAAATTATTAAGATTTCAGTTTTGTTGAACACTGAATCTTTATAATGCATAAGGCATTGTTCATGAAATATAGTGTGAACCTGAATAAAAATTATGGATGGATAATTTTTAACTCTTCGTTAGGTTTTCTATCTGTACCTCAATGTCTTTTAATGAGATTTTATTTATTACTGATCACTCTTATTTACACTGTCATTTAAAGATTCTTAAAACTTAATAACATTTTCAATTGGTCTCCTATTTGCATGTTTTTGGTCACTTTTAAAGTAGGTGGCTGATCCTCATGCATAACAATGTCTTCTTAACTCAATATCCTGATTGGTGTTTACTATTTAAAACCAGGAGTTGAAACTTTTAACAGTTCCTGTAAAACTTTTTCTTTTAAAAAAATTTCTAAGGAACTTCTTTTATTAAAGTTCTAGATTTACGATAATTTTTTTTTTTTTTTTCCTACCCCCCAGGAATTTCTTGATTACAAAATACAATATATATATAAATGTATATATACATAAATTTACAATTTTCTTTTATTGCCCAAGGGCATTACGATAAATGATTAAAAGGGCATTATGATTTAACTTTTATTTATTTAAATTATTAAAAACTGTTCCATTAAATGAGAAATAAACAGTAATTGGGCTTAGATTAGATTTATAATTCGTCTTAAATTAATCACACATGATTCATATGTTTCATTTGTTTGACACATACATAAAACAGTCTATTATTTCCAATTAATTCAAAATATTCGGGTCCCATTTCTTCCGCCACCTTATTCATATATTTTTTTTTTTTTTTTACTTCATTCTAAAGTCTTTTTGATAGTCTTATAATTTATTTATAATGAGTAATTTTTCCATTT